TCTCTCTCTCTCTCTCTCTCTCTCTCTCTCTCTCTCTCTCTCTCTCGGCAACAAGAACAAGATGAAGGAGGAACAAGAGACAGCAGTCACAAGAGCAACAACGACCACAAAGAAATTGACTGACCAGTCTAAGTCTACACAACAACAGGTAACATGGGGAACGCGTCCAATAGAAGCAATCTTCACCATTACACGTACTCAACAACACAGAAGTACGTGTGACGTTTTCAGTGACGACGGCCTGTGAATAAATCGAGAACACGAACGGCAACCAGAACAGCTTCGCCCCGCCGTACATACCGGAGCCCCACCCTTCTCAACAACACGCACGTCGGATCTCACTGGACACAGCCAGTACTACATAATCATGACAAAAACAATATCCGTGACACCGACCCTGTGTGGCCCCCGTCACAAAAACACCGAGTGGAACGTCGACTTGCGCCAGAACAGATAAATAGGTCAAATAACACATCACACCCTATCGTACTCTTGTAGAAAGCACCGACAGGAAGAGATGCATCAAACCGCACCGCAAACTTTCATATCACCCTTCCGTCCGTCATCTCGACCTCTAGAACTCAAACCCCCGTCCCACTCAGCACGTTCCGTACGTGCGACGGTGGGGCAGCAAGTCTGGCCTACTCTCAAAATCCCTCGCCCCACCCCCTCCAGTACACCCCCCCCCTTCTCTGCCCCTACGGCACCATGCACTATCTGCTCGTGCCCCTCCGTTTGGCACACTCCCCCTCCCCGTCTCTCTCCATCTTCTCCCTCCTTCGAAAACAGGTCAACACACGCTAAATCCATGTGTTGTTACTGTCTAACCTCCGCGTCCAAAACTCTCGGTGCGTTTTCCGGAGGTCCCACGGCCTCTGCTACCGTGGTAGCCCTGCCAAATCCCATCCCATCCCATCGCACCCCATCCAGTCCCATTCCGCGGTCGAATCGCAGCGGGTCGAAACCGCAGTAGCAGCCACAAGCAGCAGCAAGCGTGTGACGATACGAAAAAACATGGGGCAGCAGGGTGGAGGCAAGTCAACAATAGGGCAAACTCATGGTGGCGGGGCATGCCGTAGTCGTAAGACCACTGACCCCGCATTTCTACAAGGCCGGGATGGAGCACGCCGGGTTTTCACCGGACCAAGCTAGCACATCACCAAGTGCGAAGCGCCAGGGTGGAGGGGGGAGCTGGCTGGAGACAACGCCATCGACGCTTTGGATCCGCACAAAAGAGAGTGCGAAAAACTCTGGGTTCTTGACCCACCAGGCTAGGGCCGGATTTTATGTACAACGACAGCCTCGAGGTAATCGTTCGTACCTCG